ATTGAGAAACATCGTCCGATTTTGACATTTTGTGATTTATTCTATATCAATACAAGCTGGTGATAGATAAATCTAAAATAATTATGGATTATGATTTCTTGATGAATGAGGAATACTTCTTAGCCTCTTCTTCCATCGGTTTTAGTTCTTACGTTATTGTTGATTTTATTAACAAAAGTCGTCCAATTTAGACATTTTGTGATTTATTCTATATCATTAGAAACTGGTGGATTGGTTTCTAATGTGGATTGGAGATTGATGGATTAGGAACATTTTTTATTCATAACATCTTTCTCCATCAGTTTTAGTACTTACGTTAGAGTTGATTTTATTGAGAAAAATCGTCCAATTTTGACATTTTGTTATTTATGCAATATCAGTAGAAACTGGTGATAGATAAATATGAAATAAGCACGGATTATGATTTCTAAATGCGTTAGGAATATTTCGTATTCATAACGTCTTTCTCCATTAGTTTTAGTACTTAAGTTAGAGTTGATTTTGTTAAGAAAAATCGTCCTATTCTGATACTGGTGATAGATAAATCTTAAATTGTTAAATAAGTATGGAATATGGTTTCTTGATGCATTAGAAATGCTTTTTATTCATAACGTTTTTCTCCATAAGTTTTAGTATTTACGTTAGAGTTGGTTTTATTATCCTAATAAATCCATAATCACTGAGGTGTATGATTTGAAATAAGGTAAAAATTAAAAGAGCTCTTTCTCAGTTTTTTAATAAATATATTTGGTTTTATTAATAAAAATCGTCCAATTTTGACGTTTTGTAATTTATGCTGTATCATTGGAAACTGGTTTCTAGATAGATGTTAAATACGGATTATGATTTCTTGTTGAATTAGGAACATTTTTTATTCATAACGTCAGTTCCCATCCGTTTTAGTACACAGACAAAAATTGTAGATAGATAACTAAATTTTAGAAAAATTGCCTAGAAACCGTGGTTTAGAAAGGAAATATGTATTACAGCGAATTGAAATTAGTTGAGTATCAAAGTGGTGAGTTTAACAATTTATATTTATTAAGTAGATACTTGAATATATCTTACAAGGGAATTGTCGCAAGTCTTTCGCCGATTTCGTTGCAATTTGCTACAGCGATAGTATGAACTAAAATAAGGTTTACGTATTTTTTTATACGTGCTAATAAATCCCCTGGGGCGAGTTATAAGGGTTGGAAGTTGGGGTGGACGGTATACAGTGTGTGCGTATAGTAGCAGATATACGTAGTAACAATTTATTTGAAATTGTAGTAGTAGTACAAATTGGAAATTATTGCAAAATTATGCCGCAAGTGAAGTCGTCCATGTCAGGAAAATTATCCCAATAGGTGCGTGAATATCCAGTATCCAAGATTGATCGTAAGATACTTTTTTGCAAAGTGTGCAACAAATCTGTGTCCGCCGAGAAAATATTGTCGGTAAAACCTCGTTAATACACATAGAACTGGAAAAAAGAACTAATAAAAAGAAAATTACTCAGGCTTTTTTCGCTGAATGTTCCACATCCAAATCAAAAGACGTTCAATTTGCAGAAGATGTAGCGCTGATATACCTCTAAATAAAATGCGCAACAAAAAATTAGTATCGTTCCTAGAATCATACACAGAGTACAAAGTGTCATCGGAAAATACCCTTCGCACAAAATTTGAAACAACAGATGCAACAGGAAGATACATGGCAAATGTCATTATTGGTATTTTGGATCATGATTATTGATAGCATTATTACAAAGCTTTTCGATGATTCTATTAAGATTTTGAGTGAGACTTTCAACAGAGCCATGATTGTACTCTTTGTATCAGAAGCTGCACCCTACATGGTAAAGGTAGCTCAGACTATACAAACGTTTTATTCAAAAGTGACACACTTAACTTGTCTTGCACACGGACTTCATCGAGTTTGTGACCAAATTCGAGGTATGTACTTACACTAACGTCGACTATAAACGACTCATAAACTTTTCGGGCTTGATAAAGCGATCTCGCGTTCCACGTTGCTATTCTGCAAGGATTTTGGAGACTAACAACTAACAACCTGGGAGGCCTCGCAAACTGTAATTTTTCCTCCCCAGGACAAAAGCTGTTGACTATAAGACATTTCGTAACTTTTCAAGATCATTAAGAAGCGGTAGATAATTAAAAAACATTTAAAATGTTCAAATTCGACATATCTAGGTATTAGAACACCCAAGGCATCTATATTTTTATAAAATCAATATGACCGAAAACAAGACACGAATAAATTGGGCCATCTATGCTTTTAAAAGCGAAGTTTAATGTCATATATGGAAGCGACGCCGACGTATCAAATTAGGTGAGAAATTTCTGAGGATTACAAAAAATTTGGTCTTTTTGATGAATTTGATATTGTTATGGAAGATATCATCTTAAAGTTATAAACATCAGTAAATAATAACGAGTCATCATTCTATGTATAAGTCTATTCTTGGACCACTTTTATTTGCTATTTACACTTGCAACTTATTTTCTAAATTAAAGCATTGTGATGATAGGCAATTATATCACAGTTTTAAACCAGATGATCTCCCTTCGTGCACGGAAATTACTAATCATCGTTTGAAAATTAATCCTGATAAGATTCAAGGTATTATATTTACAAACGGGGTTGGTTAGTTTGTTGATATTGCTCGAAGTCACTCGTGTGTCGTCGTGCTTTGAAACGTTTTTATTCATATCGTACAGTTTTGTCCGTAAAATTGTTAAACAAAAATAAACTACTCATACCCTTTTGTGCCATAGACCTCATCGCAAATGATCTGAAAATGATCTGACTAAAGATTGCACTAAATCAAGAAAAACACCACCACAATGTGTAAACTGCCAAGGGGATCACCCAGGTAATTACGAGGGTTACACATACTATAAAAACTTAAATGTCAAAAATAAACCCAATGTAACATATACCCCCAATCATGCGTTAACAAGTACTTCAAGAACATCTACCAAAGTCCAATCCAGCATATCCTTCCCAAACCTACGCGCAAGCAACAAACCCAAATCATTCCTCCAACGATACCAACTCTCAATCAGTTATAACAAATATACTAGAATCCCTAATGAATATAATATCTCCATATTTAGTACAAATTAAAAATTTTATCACAACACACATAATTCCCAAAATATTCAATGTCTAATCAGCCAACTCTACGTAATCTAACACTTCTTATTTGGAATGCAAACGGCATCAACAAACAGCGAGCCATCCTTATAGCTATCATAGACATAGCATGCGTAACAGAAACGCATTTAAGTTAATCAAAGGAATTCAACATACCAGGTTTCAAAACCTATCGCAATGACAGGCAACACAGAATCGCTTCAGAATGTGTGATTATTAATAGAAGATGGTTTCGAAAACAAAATGTACACAACAGCGCTCTTCTTGGACATTTACACGAGCTTTCGATCGAATTTGGTTGGATGGATTGAAATTCAAGATCCTTAAACTTGATTTACCACAATACCTTAAATCAATCCTTCTATCTTTTCTGATAAACCGAACCTTTTCCACCAAAATCCACGACTGCTTCTCCTCCAAATCACCAATACAAGTAGGTGTTCCACAAGGCAGTCTCCTGGCTCTCATTGTTTTTAATATTTATATGCACGATATCACCCAAATTATTCAGAATGAAAGCTATGTTTGCTGATGATACAGTCTTATTCACAAAAGATGAAGATCTATCCATAGCAATAATTAAATTACAAACTCTTACGACCAAGGTAAACAAATGGCTCAACCTATGGAATTTAGACATTAACGAACAAAAATGTGCAGTAAAAATTTTCAAATTAAAACATATAAGGCACCCTCAACAATTAGTTATCAACGACAAACAGATAGAGTGGAAAAACAACGAAGAAGCAGTAAAATATCTGGGGATTCATTTGGATACAAGACTCACTTGGAAATATCATATCAACTTGAAGCTAAATAAAGGTTATGGGAGACTAGCTGAAATATATAGTATCACAAACAGGAAATCTTCCCTTAAACCTGAATGCACTATTCTAATTTACACTTGGTTAATTCGATCAACACCTATGAGATATGGGGAAATGCGATAGAATCAAATCAGAAAAATTTGTGTCCACTACAAAATAAGATACTTAGAATAGCTGTGGACGCTGAATGATTTATTACAAACAAGCAACTACACAGGAAAAAATCGTGTAGTGTAAAAATTTTGGAGTAGTTGGTAAAAAGAATTAGAGTAAAAATTGTAATATCACATGGTAAAAATAACTCTAATGTACACTATATTTAATATTAATATAGAGTTCATATATTATTCACTTAATAGAGTAGTTTTTACAGTTCTCTAAAGGAGAGTTCTTTTTTACTTATGTTAGTGAAGTTATGTAATATATAAAACATTAAATTTTACACTAGACGTGTACTTTTCCTTCGGGTACTTCGTAGGCACCGCACTATTTTGCTCGGGATTACTCGTTGGTACCACGTGATCAACATGTGGTGTGATACAGCTAAAAATTTAACGGTCATCTACTAAACGAGTCGGAACTCAATAGCGTCTCGAGACCTGATTTATGCGATATAGAAAGAAAGAACGATTATTTTTATTTTAATTATGTTTGCCAAAATAAAACATTCATGATGTGAAATTAGTGGAACTTCCGGAAGATTTTACATACAAGTTCCTTGTGAAGATTGGTAAAAATGTGCAACTTGGTGCAACTATACAAATAGGAAACTTATAGAAGACTCATTAGATGCAGTTTTGATGGTGACTCGGTGGAAACTTTAAAATTAATTAAGTGTTATATACGTTATATGTATCTGTCGTAGATAATTGATAAAAACAGGAATTTAATCAAATCCCTAAGAGATTTGATCAGTTCACTGGAGATGTTAAAATGATAGTTAGTTAGTATCATTTCACTAACCTTTCGAGTGCACTGTGGGGTCAATATGACCCCACAACTTATTATTTTGTGTGTATTTTCTAAACTATTAAATCTTTTATTTAATGAATTTTTATAATCTTCTAGACTATAATGCTCTATATGTATCTGTAATGAATTTGAAATTTATGCGTTTCTAAAGGACAAAAAAAATTGATTGGGGTCATATTGACCCCACAGTGCACTTCTTGTACCTTTTTTTCTTAGGAAATTTCTTTAAATACTTTGAATTTGGAGCCGTCTTTAGCTTTTATTTACACAAAGGGGAAGTACCTATCTATACATTACTACTTGTGTGAATCCCCGGCCTTCCTACTTTGCTACATTCAACTGTATAGCTTCATCACAGAGCCACAGAGGTTCATCAGTTTGTTGTAAAACGCGAACCTGTACGGTAGTTCCTAACTTTGTCGTATCAATACGGAAGTTGTTTCAAAAGTCAAAATGAGTCACAGAAGGCTATCCGACGATGAATGGTTAAAACTATTAGAAGATGAAAATTTTCCACCGACGGATTTTAATTGTCAAGAATTTAGTGAAGACGAAGATGAAAGTGACGAGGAAAACTCAACTTTTAGTGAACATGATTCTAACTCTGAAAATGATCTAAGTGACGGTGACGACAACCTGGAAAACGAAGTAGAAAATAATCATTTATTTATGGGGAAAGACGGTAAAACTAAATGGAATAGTTTTCCAAAGCCAACATCACGCACAAGGGCAAAGAATATAGTTTTACACCTGCCTGGTCCAAAGAGAGCTGCTAAATCGGTAGTGAAGCCTCAAGATACATTTTCATTGTTTTTTGATGGTGACATGGTAGATAAGATAGTCAAGTATACTAATATAAAAATTGAAAGTGTTCTAGAAAATCGTGTAAATTTATGTAGCTATGAAAGAAGAACAAACCGAGAAGAAATATATGCAGTGTTCGGTTTACTCTTTATTTGCGGAGTTATGAGATCGTCTCATCTGCAACTCCATGATCTATGGAATACATCATACGGACCAGCCATTTGTCATGCAGCCATGAGTGAAAGGCGTTTCAAATTTTTGTTGGGCAACCTTCGATTTGATGATATTACAACCAGAAACATACGTAAGCAAGGTAATAAGTTGGCAGCAATAGTCGATCTATGGGAAGCATTTATTGTTAATTGTCAGAAACACTACATTATGAGTGAATACGTTACCATAGACGAAATATTATGTCCTTTTCGCGGACGTTGCTGTTTTGTGCAATATTTGCCGAATAAACCTGCCAAGTACGGTATAAAAATTTTTGGAATGAATTGTGCCCGAACATTCTACTTTTATTCTGGAAAAATTTATGCCGGCAAAGAAAATAAAAAACGCGCAAAAAACCTAGCGCATGATGTAGTCATGAATCTTACCGTTCCAATTCACAATACTGCAAGAAATATCACAACGGATAACTGGTATACATCTATACCCTTAGGAAAAAGTTTGTTGCAAAAAAAATTAACACTGGTTGGTACTTTGAAAAAAAATAAGGTCGAAATTCCCAAAGAGTTCCAAGCAAACAAACAACGAGCTGTTTATTCTACGTTAGAAGGTTTTTCAGAACTGGGGAAAATGGTGTCGTATGTTCCCAAGAAAGGCAAGTGTGTGATCATTTTTAGTACAATGCATGATGATAGAAGCAAACTGGAAGCTGAAAATAAAAACAAGCCTGAAGAAATCGAATTCTATAATAAATCAAAGGGAGGCATAGATACATTAGATAAATTGTGTGCCACGTACACGACTCAAAGAGGGTCACGACGCTGGCCTATGGTAATTTTCTATTTTATGTTGAATGCTTGCACAATAAATGGTCAAGTAATCTTCAGAGATGTTAAACCTGATTATTTCAGAGATACTTCACATTCTAGACGATTATTTATACGTGAAATAGGTGAAGGTTTGGTGAGAGCGCAACTTCAGATAAGGTCCGGTATACCAAATTTGCAACCTTTGGTAAAGTTAAGTCTTGCGCGCTGTGGATTTGAAGTTCCCCCTAGACAAGAACAAAACCTTGATCAACCAGGACCACCAGCAAAACGCAAAAGATGTGCCTTATGTTCACGGCAAGATGATAAAAAAACGAACCTTTATTGTTCTAAGTGTAAAACTGCAATATGTAAAAATCATTCTTATATTATATGTTCTAATTGTCATAAATAAAATATTTTTTATCTATAATGTAAAATAGACCTTAAACATTGTTCTTATAATTTGGTTTTCTCAAATAAAGTTTGTTCCTAAATAATAACAACATTCTTTACATGGGGTCATATAGACCCCGTTGTGCACTCCGTGTGACTCAAAAAGACTGTGCACTCGGAAGGCTAAGAAAATCAAGAGATTTCATCAAATCCCTAAGCTGATTCGGTTTGAATTTTTAAACAGTTTGTTTAAAGCGTTTAGCGTTTTAAAACATCGTCCCAAGTTAGAGGGCGCTGCTAGAACAATTCACACACCAGTTAGTCCAAGAGTAAACACTACGCAAGGTCGTTCAATTGCACGCATGGTAAAAAATGGATTCGTATGAAGGAAAAAATCAAACACAGACCGCATTTGTGTGTGAAGAACAGTTTGCTGACGTTATTAGAATGATTTTAGAAAGCGGGATAGTAAAGAAAAGCCGATATGGACTCCTGTAAGGTTAGACGAAGCTATCACAGCCGTTGAACAGTTTAAATTAGCACAAGTGTTAAAAATTCAACGAACAAATAAACAGTATTACTACGGAAAAAAATACGATTTAATGGAAGTAGGTAGTAAAAAAACTTTGATTTTGAAGA